AAGAGCTGCATAAATAGATAAATAGATAAAAGATAAACAAAATAAAAGAAAAAAACATTCGAAAAAAGGAAAAGGGTAAATGCAGAAGATCAATTTCTTCCCCCAAGCAAATACATTTTGCCTCCCAAAACAGGTAGTCACAGCGATGCTTTTCTGTCTTAATACTGGGATTAATTAATATTAAAATTAAATATTAAATTAAATAATAAATATTAAAATTAAATATTAAATTAAATAATAGATATTAAAATTTAATAATAAATATTAAAATTATTAAATAATAAATATTAAAATTAAGTATTATATTTAATATTAAAATTAAATATTATATTATATATTAATTAATTTCCAAAATTATGTTTGCATGCACCAATGCCTGGGCAAGTCTGTGGCACTGTCATCAATTTTTATATATGGGCACTATTATATTGGCATTATTATATAGGCATTATTATATAGGCATTATCCAAGCCGATATTAGCCGACAAATAATCTTTTGTTTGACTTGAATGGAATTTAATGTGCAAGTAAAAGTTGTCCAAGTATTGTAGCCACTTTTTCTTCTTGTGTGACCCATTGTCAGCCTCTCCCGTAGCCTCGTACATCTGCAGCCTGCTCCGCTTAGTCCTCCCAGTCGCCTCCGCTCCGCTCCGCTCCGCTGCTCTGTGACAACAGGGACACAGCGACACAGGGAGACAGGGAGACACATATTTATTTTCTTGTTCCATTTAAAAACTTTATTTATTGACGCTGATAGGAATCTAGTCATCTATCTGTGCGTTTTAGTTGCAACACCCCCGCCACCCACCGCACTCCACTCCCAATCCCAATCCCAAGCTCGAGGTCGGGCAGGTCTGGGAGCCTACGGTGGCGTGTGGCGTGTGGCAGGCAGGCTCTTTGCCCGATGCTCCTTTTTATTACGAGTATTTCTCTGCTCTGATCTGCTCTGCTCTGCTGCGCTCTGTGGCTCTTTCTGTTTCTCTGTTGCTGTTGCATGTTTGCAGCTCCAGCAATAAAATCAAGATACAGCAACAACAGCAACAAAAGCAACAGCAGGAACAGCCACAGCAAAGAGCCAGCAAGAGCCACAGTCGAACGCTTTGTACAAGACAAACAAAACCGTTAAGATAAATATTGGCCAAAAAAGTGACCACAAAATGAAGCAAGGACGGAGTGAGTGTGTGTGTGTGCCACAGCACACCACCATCCGAATGGGTTGCAGTGTTGCAGGCGTGTGAATCTACAAATCCTCGATGGGCGTTCACATTCATTGATGTCGCCAATAAAATGAAAGAGAGTCGCCACCAAAAACAAATACACGACAACAAACACGGCTAACACTGAGAGAAAGTAGGGTGAAGATCTGCAAAAGCAATGGGAAATCTCCCACAAATCTCTCTCACATTTTAATTGACTTTTGCTCTTAATATTTAAAGTGGTTGCTAAGTCGGCAATTAATTTACTTTAATTTACTTTAATAATTTCAATAAAAATAATATAAATAATGATACCTATCTACGAGTATTTTCCAACACTATAAAAGGATTCTCATTTAATATTCATGTGAGATTATTCGTAATGGTTTTTGGCAGATAATTTAATAAATTCCTTACACATAAATCAATGGAATACGAACGACTTCTTAAGCGAAAATGAATGCTGAATGCTGAACGGAATTTACATATTTTATATAATTTATTTTATTTATTTATTTTATTTATTTATTTTATTCAATTTGAACACATTATAAATTGTATTAATAACATAAACTGGAATAATTTGGACTACTCTTATTATGAAAATGAAAATAGAACTCCACACACACAAATTGATGGCCCCACATCCTAGAGTCTGGGCAGTGTCTTTCCTTTTAAAAGGAGTTGCAAAGGAGTACGAAATGGATCACAATTAACCTGTTATCTTCCCGTGTATACACCCAAAATCCCCAAGAACTTTTTACTGATTAAACTTACATAAAAATCAGCCACATATTGGTTCGGGCAAAGGCTTAATCTCCCAGCCCCAATTAATGCTTCACTCAGCTGCATTTCTTGCAGTGTAGAGCCCCCCAATTGCTGGTGGCGTGGGGGGGGACGTGGCTTCCCATGGCTGGAGGGAGAGAGAGAATTTCAGAGCCGTCATAATCTAAAAATCTTGCCGCCGGGCGGGCGGGCAAACAAACAAATAAACCCACCAACAGCAAAGAGAAAGAGAGACAGAGAGAGAGAATGACAAAAGGCTGGACCCAAAAGCAGGCCTCAGACGACCATGTGAGGGATCCACTACACCACTACACCACTACACCCACCCTCTCAATGCGAACGCCCCCGCTGGCCCCGGAACCACTCACTGAAAACGACAATGCAATTTTCATTACGCACTTGCCAATATTAAGCCAAAGTTTGGCACTGTCTGGCACACAGGCAAACACAAACACAAACACAAACAGCATGCCACACACACACACACACACACACACACAGACAGCCTGTGGATGCAGATACTAGCAGGAGGGATACTCGCTCACAGATACACTCACAGGCCATGTTGCGGTCGTGGGCTTTGCGGCTGTTGCAGCTGCCACGCCTACTGCCAAGGTAATAAAGCAAAAGTTCTGATCCGGCCCAGGGCCCCAGGGCCATGAAAGCCCTCTCCTCCTCTCTCTGTGTGTGTGTGTGTTCTCCACTCGATAAGCCGTGGAGGCGGCTTCGAGTGCTGCCCCCAGGAGCAGCCCAGGAAGCGGCATCCGCCTCCCCAACAAAGGAAGCGGAAATGAGCCGGCCAGCTGTCTTTCCTTTTGAGAGTTGGGTGTGAGCTTTGTCTGTGTGTTGGTAGTGGGTGTGGGTGTGGGTGTGGGTGTGTGGGAGGGTGTGTGTGAGGGCTACCAGTATTCTTTCCATGGCGATGGAGTGGCTCAAAGGTGAGCAGACATCTAATCTCTGGCTACAATTAAAGTTGATTGCTTCGATGTATAGATGAGTGTGAGTGTGTGAGAGTGTGTGAGAGTGTGCTTGGATATACAGATTAAAGACAAACAACAGCTGTGCAGATCGGTAAAGTGATAAGGTAAATAAATGAAGCAACATTAATTAAGAGAGAGAGAGAGAGCAAAAACTAGAGCTTAAATCTCTGTGCACAATTAAGACAAAAAATACGAATGGGCGCAAGAGTTATTTGTAGCCTCAAATTGTGTATTTTAAATGGGATGAGAATAAAAATATTTATTTATTTATTAAGATTAACTTTAATGCATTATGAAATAATATTAACTAACTATTAAAAAATAAATAAGGCCTGAAAAATACTTGAGCAAAGCTGTACCCCACTGAGCGAGCAAGTCAGCTGTTGCCAGTCACATGTAAACGTGTTGCCCAATGCAACCCTGCAAGCAGAGCTGCATTTTGTTTTAGAATCAATGTAGAATCTATGAGCTGCAATTTTATTTTCTACTATCCCCCCCCCCCCTCGGTCAAGTAACGCTCTTCCTTACCCATGATAGTCCCCCACCATGCCATTGCCCTTTACGGCTTGAAGTGGCAGCCCCCCCCAACCCACTAAGCCCTGACTATGGAATAATTAACACTGTTTTCGATTCGGTTTCGGCAACGGACACTGCCACGCCCCCACACCCACACCCACACACACAGACACATGCAGCCACATGCTGCCGCCCACCATCAGATCGGAGCTAATTATATGCGCCTTCAAAACAAAAACAAACAAAAGCGCGTGGAAGCCAATTATGATACGCGGGAGAGGGGGGGAGGTGGAGTGTCTGTCTGTCTGTTTGTCTGTCTGTGTGGCAGAGAGAACAGAAAGTGAAAAGGTCTTATCAGCAAGGTGCAGGCAACAGAATGCAGCAAATATTGTAGTAGGCGCCGCAGCATGTGGAACAGGCCAGCGGTGCACCGCGGTGGGGGCAGAAGGTGGTGGAGGGGCTTTAATGAAGCCATCGTCAAGAGGCATCGCCATTCGCCGTGGCAGTAATTACGCGCCCCTCTTCGAAAATTGATGATTTTCATTAACGACAACTTAATAACTTAGCCAAAGACAGGGCTCTGGGACTGGGCCTGGGAATGGGGCTGGGACTGGGGCTGGGCCTGGGCCTGGTACTGGGCCTGAGACTGGGCCTGGGTCGAGTTCCGTCCGTCGTCTTCATTATCGGATAGCCATCGGAAGAGCAAACAAGCAGCAGCACAGCCACAGCCACAGCCGCAGCAATAGAAGAGAGCCCCAAGAAAAAGAGAAGCTCAAGCCGAAAACGAAATTGAGGAAAGAAAAACGAGAAAGAGAGAGAGAGAGAGGAAAGAAGAGGTTGCTTGGAGGAGGTGTGCAAAATGTTGATTATGCTTGGCATTACCTCAGATTATCTGCAGAATATGGGCTGTATTTATGTATTTATGGGTGGGAATATTGGCTGTGAAATATGCAGGGATCGATGCATAGATCCATGCAGGATAGGTTGGGGTTTCCCCCATGGCTAAACATACAACATAAAATAGGGAAATAGCAACTGAAATACCATTGAACCTTTATGTAGGAGGATATTTTAAAATAAAAATAAATAAATTGAAGCAAGCAATTGGCATTACAAATGAAATGAAATATCGCTGTTAAATCTTTTTCTTCTCTTCGCAGTCGCTAGAAATTTTAGGTGCAAGCTTGGACACAAAATGCTGCCCACCAACTGTGTGGCTGCAACAAACTCCAAAAAGGGCCAATAAAAAACCATGGCCAAAGCAACAAACCTGCCAGCTACATGCTGCCAGCAGCAGCCTGGTGTACCGCAACATGTTGGGCCAGCCCAGCCCAGCAGCAAATGTATCCAACACAGTGCGCAGCGCGCAACAGCAACAACTGGCGTGAGCGGTGAGTGCGAGCGAGAGAGCGAGTTGACTTTGGTGAGTTGCTGGGCCGCGGCAACATGTTGGGATGGCTGAGATGGGATGCTGTCGCAGCAGCAGCCGCAGCAGCTCGTGCTGTCGGCCACTAAACGAAGACGCCAACGACGACGACGACGTTCGAAAACGACCGACGACGACGCCGAAGAGTCGCACGCGATTTAAAACGCCCCCGAAGGCGCGAGTGAGTGCCCACAGTGAAAAAACGCCTGCGCATACGGCTCAGCTCCGGACACGGAATAAACGGCAATCAAAGCCAATAGCAATAGCATCCTCTCCTTCTCGTACTAGTAGTACTAGTCAATATTTTTTGTTTGGTGCTTGCAATTTTTGTTTTGTGTCAAAAGTGAAACAACCATCGAGGAAAGCAGTGCAGAAACCATCGAGGAAAGCAGTGCAGAAAAAACGAAAGAAAAAAACTGAAATCCCGCAGCAGAAAAGAACAAGAAACGGCAACAAAAATGTTCCACTGGAGCTGCTGGCAGGTGCTGCTCCTGGCCAGCGCATGGGCCGGAGTGCTGGCCATACCCAATGACGTTTACCTGAAGATGTTCGCCATGCAGCCGCCGGTGGCGGCGGAGGATCCCTGCTACGACAAGGCGCGCCAGCCGCGCCTCTGCATACCCGACTTCGTGAACGCCGCCTACGATGCGCCCGTGGCGGCCAGCAGCACCTGCGGGGCCGAGCAGCCGCAGCGGTACTGCGAGCACGGCCCGGACACCAGGGAGCTGCAGTGCCACACGTGCGACGCCAGCAACTCGCAGCGCAGCTTCCCGCCGCGCGCCCTCACCGATCTGAACAACTCCAACAACGTGACCTGCTGGCGATCGGCTCCTGTGCTGCCGGCTGCCGGTGGGGGCAATGTGACCTTGACCCTCTCGCTGGGCAAGCGCTACGAGCTGACCTACGTGAGCCTGCAGTTCTGCCCGCGGGCACCGCGTCCCGACTCCCTGGCCATCTACAAGAGCTCCGACTACGGCCGCAGCTGGAAGCCCTTCCAGTACTACAGCTCCCAGTGCCGACGCCTGTTCGGGCGCCCCAGCCGCCTGGCCGTCAGCAAGCACAACGAGCAGGAGGTGCGCTGCAGTGATCCCCATCGCCAGGGGCAGGGCCGCAGCGAGGGTCTCGCCTCGCGCATCGCCTTCAGCACGCTGGAGGGTCGCCCCTCGGCCCGCGATCTCGACTCATCGACGGTGCTGCAGGACTGGGTGACGGCCACCGACATACGCATCGTGTTCCACCGCCTGCAGCAGCAGCCCGATCCGCAGGCCCTCATCTCCATGGACGCGCCGCCGTCGGATCTGCGCAGCGCCAAGTACAGCGTGCAACTCAACAGTCCAGCGGGCAACAACATTGACTCCTCGCCAGCCACCACCGTAGCCGCAGCCTCAGCCTCAGCCTCAGCCTCCGCCTCAGTATCAGCCGCTGCCACGGGCCTCCACTATGCCGTCTCCGACTTCTCTGTGGGCGGGCGCTGCAAGTGCAACGGCCACGCCTCCAAGTGCTCGCCGGATGCCAACGGGCAGCTGAGCTGCGAGTGCAGCCACAACACCGCGGGCAGGGACTGCGAGCACTGCAAGCCCTTCTACTACGACCGCCCCTGGGGCAGGGCCACGGCACGCGAGCCCAACGAATGCAAAAGTGAGTAGCCCTTAGCCCTTAAGAATCAAGAGTATCAGGAGTCCCAGGATCTCCACAAAATTACATTTTCATAGATTAATATTTTCGCCTTACTTTTTGGCAGAATTCTTTAAGCTAAATTCTGCTCAGAGCAAATGAAACCAATCATAGGCATAAAAATAAAAGACTCAGCGGAATTCCTTTTCCCTAAATAAATAAATAAATATGCCCCTAAAAAGCCAAAGATTTCTGTGGGAAATCAATGAAATATATATAAAAACAAAAATCGAATATACCCCTTAACTCCTCGAGTACGGCTATAAAAAGTATAAAAGGGCACATATTTATCTCGTATGTAAAATAACTGCAGGATTCCCTGCACATCTGTGAGGATTAGCCCGGGCTTGAGCATTTATAGCTATAGTCTTTGCCATTACCTGAAAGATCGTAGAAGACTGATTTTACCTGAATTTTGGGAGTTTTTGCTGGCTGGCTTGGTAATTCCCCAAGTGAAAATGGTAATTTTTGGGTGTGAGAATAGCCGCCCCCAAGCACCAACGATAGCCCAATCTCAATAGCAAGCCCATTCCCAATCCCAATGCCAATCCGTTGTGCAAACATATCGCCAGGCATAAAGTTAAAATAAAGAGGACCTGGCACTGGCTCAGGCGACAACTCAATCTGGATTCAATTTGCAGGGCGACTTGCGCGTGTGTTTAGTTTTCATCTTAAATGGGACTCACGGGCAGGACCCACTGGCAGGGTTGCGAGGGTTGCATCAGGCCCAAAGGCATGGGCATGGGCGGGGGCGGACTTTCTGGCTTTGCTCTTTTCCTTTGGCTCGCCAAAGGCAAAAACTGTTTGTGCTGCGGATTTGGGCTTAGCCATAATTGAACAACTCGATGGACACGTGTAGAGCATCAGCGTTGGCATGCGGCATGCGGCATGTGGCAGGAGTAGGTAAACGCAACCGTTTCACAATCAATTTGCAACTCTTGGGCCAACCCTCGGAGCGAGAGTGAGCGAGAGTGAGCGCGAGCGCTCCCCCCGCCCGTACCCCTTTCGAGTTGGAGATAAAAACTGAAATCGAAACCCTCTACCTTACGGATGGGCCAGGACGGGCCGGGATGGGGGGCTATAAAAAAAAAGCAAACAAACATTCAATCACAAAACAATGGCAACCCTGGCCCGTAGACGGCTCTGGGCCGGCGGATAAACCCTCGCAATTAACCCTCTAAAAACCCGCTGAGCCCGAACAATAAGCGCGAATTTAAGCGAAATTAATTTGATAAGCATTTTCAACAGCCACGAAAATAATTCCAGAATCGTAACGAAATGTGAAACGAGAGCAGGAGGGAGCAGGGAACAGGGAGCAGGCAACAGGGAAGGTTTTTTTTTTTTTTATCAATAGAACATAATGCCATAATAAATGTGAGAGGGTTCTCCAGAGGCAGCAGTGAAAAAACATACACATAAATATTGCCTGGCAGGAAGGAAGGATAAGTACGGGCACGCGTGCTGGAGTCGCCTTTTGACGAAAGGAAAACATTTGTTTGCCAAATAATATAAACATATTTTGGCCAATACCCAGCCCAACAGATGTACATACAAATGCATAAATACATGTACATATAATTCATATTTATTTAACATGTACAAATATTTGTAAGTAGTTTCCACATATTTTAGATTGAATTCAAGTCCATCGATAGGCCATGTCTGCCTGCCTGTCTGTCTGTCTGTCTGCCTGTCTGTTGCTCTGCCAAAAATCGACTTTAAATGTTAGATTTATTATGTACTAAGATAGGAGTTTATTCTGCTCGTGATCAGCCGTGTTGAAGCCCTTTTCCCACATGCAAATCAATTCTATAAACAAATTTAAACTTGGCCTATTAGATCTCCCTTTTTGCATCTGCAAAAATTAAAATAAATACGTATATGCTCTGCACTTATTGTATTAATCAATGGAGGCATTCAATTGATGGGGCCACTCGCTGTGTGTGCGCCACAGATGATAAGAAGTGGCAGATATGTTCATCAGTGTAGAGGGACTCCGGAGTGTAGCTCGGCTTGGGGGAGCATCCATTATTCATCTGTGGATCAAACATCGCTCGATGTTTTGGTGTCGTGTGTGTCGTGCTGCCAAGGCACTCGATGAAAGTGTCCTTCGTGGTCATCATGGGCCATAACATTGCAATGGTTTTTTTTTTTGCGCTGGCTATAGGCGGACATGCCAGGCAGGCAGGCAGGCAGGCAGGCAGAGATCCTTTAGTATTGTTTAGTGCATAAATCACAGTCACACCAGAAGGACGCACACACACAGACGCAGGCACAGACACAGACACAGGAGAGGCACAGACAGGAAAGGGGAGGAAAGAGTGGGCTGTTATCAGGGGCAGAGGCAAGGGCAGAGGCACGGGCACGTGTGCCTCGCCGCGCTTTATTAGGGTTGCGAAATGCATTCCCGGATCGACCCTTGTCCGCGCGCACACAATCCTGCCCTCCCCACACTCGCACTCTCTGGCCCATCGCCTATGTCCCTGCCACACATATGTTGCATGTTTATGGGCAAACGAAATTAACGTTGCCATTGCCGCCTTTGACGTTCAATGTGACCTCAACAACAGCAACAACACAGAGAGGGACAGGGACAGGGACAGGGATAACGGGCGGGCGGTTGGGCGGTCAATTACAACCGAGAACGAAAACGAGAACACAACAATGAGCGGGATGGGTGGTGGCAGGGCATGGGCAAGGGCAAGGGAAACAGGAAAATGTCCAGGCCGGAAAATATTTCCGATGAGGCGGCGACGGCGGCGTCGCGAATGACAAAACCACACGAAAATGTTTTTGGGAAAATTGAGCATATGAGCAGCGGCGGCGGGGGAAAATGCCAACCAAAAATTGCAGTTGTTTCCAATGGAATCAAATGAAATGGAAATGAAAATCGAATGAAATCGAATGCCATTCGAGGCACTAATGAGAGCCCAACATTTGCATGCGAAAATGAGGGATATGCCATGCCAAAAATACAGGGATAAAGGATCTGTTAATGGCGGACACATGTGAGGATTTCCGCAGCACGAAAATATAAATAAGCAAAGGAATTTCTCAGAGGTTTATGGAGTGGCCGGAGTGCGGCAGGGTACCTTTTGCACGCCACATATTTTTAAGGAAATAAAGTTTTTCCATTGATATAGCCATAGGGAAAAAGCTGTTAAGAGTAGCCAACAGCAGCCAGTTGGAGAAACCATAGAACGGCTCTCAAGTACAAAATAAAAAAAAACATTTTTGAGGATTCCAAACAGGGAAAAGGAGTGACAAAAATGTAACCAAACAATTAAGAGGATCAACGCAGAGGGCTTAAGTCCAGCCACGCAATAAAGAAAAAAAGAGGAATTTTTTCAGCAAACAATCTATCTATAAGATCAGCTTTCTATAGCGAAGACTGCAAAATATTTGACAGATGTGCTTGCTATTTTGTGCGGTGCTTTCGTTTGGCAAAAACAAAAACTAAAATTCGCCTGAGAACGCTCCAAAACCTAAGCATTTGGGCTAGATATTGATGGAAAATATTTGTCCAAATAAAAAACCGACGAGTTACCCCAGAGAAATCTGTATAAATGATGATGCTGCACTGCAGCATTACTCTTGCCTAAAGCGAAGCGCATTCTCCAACAAAGATGCCATTAGATTTATAGCGAAACCCCAGCCAGGGCCACCTCTGACCCCTGAACACCGTGCAGGTGTGCATTCCGTTGCCCCAAGCATCCATGCCCCACAATTATGGAGAATCCCTCCATCCAACCATCCTTCACGCATGCCAAAGATCGGGGAATCAGATCGGAATGGGTGCTACATAGGTGCTACCAGCAGCACAAAATATATACGGGCAATAAAAGATCTCAATTTGAAATGAATGGAAACGAAAACGAAAACGAAAACAAACAACTGATTCGAGCAGAGAGCGGTGGCTAAATTTAACGTCGAGCATTGAGCGTAGAGCATCGAGCGGGGCGCAATAAATACATTTTAAATCCGTTAAAACGTTTGGCGAATCAAGACATTACTCATACGCCGCATTGTGCTGTGTGCTGTGTGCTGCCTGCTACCAAAAATAGTTTCTCTGCTACTCAACGGAGACGGCGACGCATCTGATGGACGGGTCGAAAAAAATGCTGCTTAAGCATCATGATAAATGTGCTGGGTGCTGGGGGCTTAGGCAAATGCCGAGCAAATTAGCCAAACAATTTGTCCAAACGAAATCGAATGGAATGGCGCAAGGGGAACATTCTAATGCTGCTGTTTCTGCGGATGATCATCATCATAATGATGATGATGCTGATGATGATTATGTGTCATCGGGTTGGAGGAACCACTGAGCATATCCACAAGGTTACCGTTAACCCAACAAGCAACACTCAGTGTTGGCTTTCAGCGGGTGGGCTTGCGATTGGAGAAACATTTTTATCTGAAATGACTTAAGGCCTCTGCGAGCTTCGAAAAATCTACAAATTGTTGCAAATATTCATAAATGATAAATGCATTTATTTTTGAAATTTAAGTACGAATATTTGCGGCCTGCAGTTTTCCATGGGCAAATATTTCTTATAAGTTTTAATTCGGCCTAAGATATATTTTTGTGTTTTCTTTTTTTTTTCTAAGTATTTCCCTCAATTTTAATTACGTTTTCTATGCCAGTCTCTGCTGATATTCTGATTCTTTAAATCAGTATCTCCAATCTGTATTTTCCCATGCCAGAATAGTGCCGCATCTATGAGGCGACATGACATGCCCCCTGGATGAGTTTCAGTTCGGTTCAGCTTTTCCTTTGCTTTTTATGTTTTTGTTCTTGGCTCAGTTTTTCTTGCTGGTGCTGGGACATTGATTCGAAATTGCATTGGCATGTCCTCAAGTTATTTGCCTCGCAGGAGGCGACAGCCACGATGAGTGTGGCATTGCCTGGCAGTGATTTCGCTGCTTTTTGTGTCCTGTGGCTATAATTTGGGACAGCAGACCCG